ACGTTTTTATTATTCGCATAATAATACGCATTAGTTCCTAGTAACATACATATATAAATACTAAAATATGTAGTACGTTTCCATAAACCATACCAATAATGTATGATTAAAAGTAAATGTTGGTATTTTTATGGGGCTTAAAGTTTAGGATGAGTGGGTGGTGTGGAGGGCTCCTCATTGGTTACATTTGATAAAAATGTAAAATTTAGTTGCTCAACTGTTTTGTGTATAGATTCAATTTGAGAAATAAAGTAAAATTTTTTGGAATTGTTCTATGGTAGTAGAACATGAACTTTTCAAAATATCAAAAAAGTTTATTTCTTGCAAAATACATGATAGAAGCTAAAGAATTTAAATCTTTTCTTAAAATTAATATTTGACTACTAGTAGTAACTAGTAGGTATGTTAATTTTCACCAGCTCATTGGCGTTATTCATTGTCGGGGAATCGAATACAAAAAAATATTTTCGAATGTGTCTACGTTTACGTGTGCATGAGTTTACACCTCCCCCTGACCCTGAGGCCTGAGGAGTGAGGAATACATACTCACACTAATAAATAACAATCATTTACGACTAAAATGACGACCATAAATTACCTAAATGTTGCTCCTTAAACAGTAGCTACTAAGATTCACCTTAATTTATCATGTCTTAAATTTGATGTAGATAATAGTGATGTCAGTGGTAGATGACACTCTTCCCCTCCAAACACCAATATATATGTGTTTATTTAAACAAAATAAAATGAATGCCTTTGAAACACGTCATATTATTATTAGAAACTTCTTATTTATTTAAGTATTAAATGTTTTACAATATGCAACAGGCATGTCAAACTCAAAGTATCAAGTGGGCCAAATATGTTGAAAAGGTATTACTATATGCACTGCACATGAAAATTTAACAATAAAAAATAATATTAAAAAAAATTCTTATTCGAATTCGATTACAGTTAAAGAAAAGACAGTATAATAATGTATATCAAATAAGCCATTCTCTAAGAATCTAAGATAGTTGCGAAACGGTATTAATATTTTATTTATTTTTATTATTATTTTATGTTTTTGTTCATTAAAATATTGGTAGCCGGGGCCACAAAAAATCAAGTTGAGGGCCTCGTGTTTGACTTGACTGATATATAGGTACACTATATGAGTAATAACTACTAATGATATTAAAGGTATCTTATTTATAACTAATTTTATACTTAATACTTAATGTTTACTATTAATTGAAGCTTTATTAGTTTACTCTTTAAATCATTTTTTTGACCATAAAATTATAGCCATCTATTTTTATATTAATTTTTGTACGATTAAAGGAATCGAGACCCACACAACAGAAAATGGTTTTATTGGAGTTGACCATTATAAAAACCACATGTATTATCCAGTTTCTTATGTTATGGTCAATGACGATGTTCAAGAACAAGAACATCATCATCATCATACTTTTTCTCAAATGTTGATGAGCTGTCGTCCACCTCCTCCACCGACACCAGAACCGTCATCTCTACAACCTTTGATGTCATCTTCACCACCTCTGCCAGACTCTTACTATGTTCACCAGCCATTTACTCCCATGATGCAGCAACCACAGCAGCCATCACTTTTATCATCATCACAAGAATCATTACTAACAGTTGGCTGCAATACCATTCAACAACATATCCAGCAACGTATAAATGATAACGACTGCAATGGTAGGTGATCATGTACCACTTACATTGGTAGTTACATTCTAATATATTATATGTGTAAATAGTATATATAGTTCTAAACTAATCAAAAATAATACCCTAGGTATTGTTATGATAGTTAGTATCAAGTAAATAAAATATAATTCTGTTTAGAAAGAAACTCCACCAGGATGATAAAAAATGATTTATCTTCATCATGTTTTCGTCGATTACATCTAGGAGAAAGAACTATTGACAACAGTATGAATTCAACGGTCATTTTMGATAAAAACACACAACGACGGACATCAAATAACAATAATAGATTATTAGAAGTAAGTTAATTAGGTACTTAATATACATAATATATTCTATACACATTTATGGTTAGCCTAAGTACAATATTATTATATACATTATTTTTTATAACTGATAATAAATTCAATAATGACAATGAAGCAAGCAAATGAAATCAAAACAAAGTTTGAGATTACACTGGATGACGATAAGGTAGTAAATGTGTGCAAACGGACTATATTGGCTGCCATAAATAAAATTATAGTTGGTGAGGTTTTTCTTATATTATGAGTAATATGACTATAATATTATTAAATTTATAGACAATCGATTGTTTGTTTTTTTTTATAAATGTATAGACAATTATGAATCTGCTTTGTACAAATTACGTAAGACTATTAGAATATTGGACATATTGATATTTAATGAAGGTGTCAGTGGGATTGGAATTGCCAAAATCGATACTGTTAGGCCATGGTTGGAAACATTGAAAGATATGGAACGAAAATGTATTCAAAATCAACAGGACCAACATAATATTAATGGAGACCATGGTCCTAATCAGTTAGGTAGGTACTTACTTAATATATAGACTGGATTATATTGATAATACTAATGTTTTCTTAAGTTATTTGATGTATTTGTTCTATAAAGATATCAAAAATTTGAAATAAAATTTATTAGGCCTAATATTAATTAAAAAGAATATAGACCAATGTGATCATATTATTTGAGCAGTGGCACCGAACCGGTGTATCAAAGGGGGAAACCGACCACTTTGATTGTATGGGTGGGGGGTAGGTGTTAAGTAAATTTGAGTATCTATTACGATTTAAAAATAATATAATTCTATCTAGTACTTTTCTAACTTCTACTAACTTTTTAACTATTAATTGTAGCCGATATTTACGTAGTAGTCTGTATATACTATATATGTATAATTGTTATCGTACGACGTAGTTTCTGAATTCCTCGAGACCTGCGTCCTTCTATGATCATAATACCATAACTCTCTGGCCAATATACAATCTTATAAACTTATAAACACATTTTTCAATGTATTAATGTACTAATATAAATCACAGATAGTATAACATAAACAATTAAGTTATTTAGTTTTTAATTTTTCGTTTTATAGGTCAATTTTCGGCCATTCATAACTAAGTTTGTAAAATTTAATAAAAGATTACCTTTATAAGTTATACTACTTTTAACATAAAATAAAACTTTATCGGAAAGTCAAATTAATTTTTTTTACGAACGTTTAATTTTCGACTTCGACGTTTTATTTTATTAAAGCAAAATTTTTGTTAAAATTATGAATTTAAATTTTATTGTTAAGTTTGGTTGAACTGTATTTCAGAAGATGGTTCCATAACAAGAACAGAAGACAACTTTCACAAGCAACTAAGACAACTTTCCAGTAATAAAAGTGGTAAAAATAATACCATTAATAATGAAAGCAGTAAAAGTTTATATCATTTTTGGTGGAAGTCTAACTTGAGGCGTTACCGGACTACAGGTAAGTTTATTGTAGAGCAACGCCGGTGTAAAACCATCCGTCGTCGACACCAAAGAAACAAACAGTATTCATAAACAAGGATACCCACATTTGCGTGGAGAATAATTGATCTTTATCATTAAGTTATAAAATATTAASGATATTATATCTATTTTATATTTTTGTAGAACCATTTTTAAAGACTAATAATTCATATTTCTTAGTCAAACATTTTAATAACTAAGAAACTACTCATTCAAATGTTGGATTAAATACATCAACATTTTGTTATTTTCAAAAAATATATCCACTAAATAATTTACAGTAAAAAAGGGTTTCTTATTTGAGAAACAGAAGTTTGTACACTATTTACATAGAACAAAAATATTCAAGAATTTGAAAATAAATTATATCAGAGTTAATTTTAAAATTCCAAAAATCAGAATTTTAATAAATTCATTATTAAAAGAAAAAATGGAGGTGTGCATGATTGGTAAATCAACATGTATATAATTGAAAGTATATAATTGAAATATGGCCTGATATTAATACAATGTAATATTAGTAATATACAGTCATCTATTACCTATGTTTTACAAATAATCATATGTGCCGGTAGTAGTATAATAATGACAAAGCTGAGTTAATGGATGTATAAATAATAGTATGTATGTTATATCACTTATATACGAGTTGTAGTATTTAATATAAAACAATATCACATATAAATGTAAATATACAGGGTGATTCTTTTATCATGAACCACTCATTATTACAAAAAGTATCAATGTTTTTGAAAATATTTTTTTACAAAGTTTCATGTTGTTAAAAAACAACGTTTTTATTAAAAAATTATAKTTTTAAATATTTTTTATCCTTATAATTTTTTAAGTTTTTAATTTTTTTGAATGACAGCCTAAAGTTTTAATTTCATATTCCAAAGCAGAATATTTTTCTAAGTATTTTGATACATAAACATCGAATTTTGGACGAGTAGTTTATGAGTTATAGGTATTTAAGGTTTAGAGAAGTGGAGTAGTGGACAAACATTTTGCGGGGTAACCCCGTACCACTCCACTCTGCCAATCTAAACTTTAAATACTTATAACTCATAAACTAATCGTCCAAAATTCGATTTTTACGTATCAAAATACTTAGAAAAATATTCTGCATTGAAATATGAAATTAAAACTCTAGGTTGTAATTCAAAAAAGTAAAAAACTTAGAAAATTATAAGGATAAAAAATATTAAAAAACATAATTTTTTAATAAAAACGTTATTTTAACAGGAAACTTTGAAAAAAAATATTTTCAAAAAAATTGATACTTTTTGAAATAAAGAGTGGTTCATGATAAAAAAATCACCCTGTAGTCATTTTATATATTAATAAATAAGAAATTATTTTATGTTATATTCAGATCTAATTTTTAACATAGTATATTTGTGTACCTACAGCCAAGGATTTTTTTTCTGTGTGTACGAATATTAATTTTGTGTTATTTTATGACAAATTGTTTTATAATTTATAAAAATTAATTTTGTATGTTCTATCAATTAGAAAATTCTTGTTTTAGATTATAATACAGGAAGCTAATGAAATTGCTGTGGACAATTCTAAATACCTATCACTATAGGTTACCACTATGGTACACATACCATTCAAACCCCTTCATTTTTATTTTTTGTAATAAGGTAATATAGGTTATTAGGTTATGATAAATTTAAATACATATATAGTATAAATTATTGTATTTGTGACTTGTGTATTCATGAGAGTGAATATTGCAATTTTAAATATTTTAATTCTAGCGCAGCCTCACAGGGCTGTATTTATGTGGAGACGGTAAAATTATGTCAAGTGACGTAGCTAGGATTTGGTGAGAGAGAAGATTAGGTTAGGTTAGGTTTTTAAAAACTTGAATATTGAAAAAAATTACTAGCAACACGTCAAATGGTTAGCCATCAACATTTGATATAACTACATACCTATTTTATAAAAGTTATACCTAATAAGCTTAAATTTAAAATTTTTTATAATTGGTATTATTAGAATATATTTTTATTTCATTTTAAATTATACAAAAGTTATATATAGTTCTTGTAAATCTTCTAATAAATAATAAAAAGTTTTCTCCTTTTTAAAATAAACAATAGTTAGTAAAAATATAAGTATCAATAATAAATAAAAATAATATTATGCATAATAAAAAATATATTTTACGATATTTTAATTTTTAAATGAGTTTTGTGAATTTTAAAATATTCACACTCAACATGCTCATAACTCATTTAAAAATTAAAATATCGTAAAAAACAAACACGAGAACACAGATAATGTACTTAACTAAAAGTTTGATGATGAGTCAATTCACTCTAATATCAAAACTAACAGCACATTATTGAATCTAGTGAACGAAAATTTGCTATGTAGTACGCTTGTAAGACGGAGACAACACATGCGGGTGTAACGTCTTCTTAAACAACAATAATTACTTATCTTATATAATAATAATAAATTAATAAATTAATAATTATTATCTATAATAATTCCTTATCAATTTTTCTATCTTGACAAGAGAATTTTTCAATCAGCTCATTTAAACTTATGATGTTAAGTATAATATCTTTTTCCACTGATAAAATAAGAGATTCCATCCTATCAACTCATAACTGCAGGGGAGTACTTGTGTCAAGAGGCACGTGAGGTTCATCAACAATTAGGGCCCGGGATTTAACCAATACCTTTATGGTTATATACACATAATATATATTTAGATATATTATATAGGTATATATATGTCGCATCCATATCGCGTTATTGTACGTTTCACGTAATGGACAATGTTTTCATCCATTTCGCGAAATGGAACCACGGTTTCTCCACTTCACGTAATTACACAATATGGATAATATTCCGTGAAATGGATACCTATCATCATCAACGGAACTTGTTCCGTCATTTGGAAGCCCATATAGCAAAACTTAAAAAACTTTTATTTCATATATTATAATATATTATTATCAAATTATATACAAATTATTATTTATTTAGACAAGCTTGTGAGTTATGACAACGAGAATTATATACATTTTAAATTACCTTTAAAACAAGCACATTTTTTAGTTTAACATTTGCCTTTACAATAACAGTAAAAGAAACCTTGACCTCCAGTTAAAGAAGAGACAATTTCTSTTAATGACATTTCTTTTGTCTTATTCACTTGATTTATGTGAATGAAATTTGACCAAAAAAAGACCTTAATCTTTTAGGAACTGAACATGGCATACTAAAAGGTTGGTATGGTTCTGGAAATATAAAACCAGCCACATCAAATTTCATCCACATAAATCAAGTGAATAAAGAGTCATTAAGATAAATTGGCTCTTCTTTAACTGGAGGTCAAGGTTTTTTAACTGTTATTGTAAAGGCAAATGTTAAACTAAAAAATGTGCTTATTTTAAAGGTAATTTAAAATGTATACCTAATTCTCGTTGTCATAACTCACAAGCTTGTCTAAATAAATTATAATTTGTATATGATTTGATAATAATATAATATATAAAATAAAAGTTTTTTAAGTTTTGCTATATGTGCATCCAAATTACGGAACAAGTTCCGTTGATGATGATTTAGGTATACATTTCACGGAATATTATCCATATTGTGTATTTACGTGAAGTGGGGAAATCGCGGTTCCATTTCACGAAATTGATGAAAACGTTGTCCATTACGTACAATAACGCGATATGGATGCGACATACTATATATGAAATGATCTTGGGCCCGGAAGGCGATAGCCCCCTCGCCTATCTGTCCAGTCCCATAACTGTTTGCAATCTTTGTTTTACCTAGAACAAAATTATTTCATAACAATAAACCTTTATTTAAAAATCATTTTTCAATTCTTAAAACCATTTGTTGTATCTATCTATTTTAATAATTAATGTTAAATAAACAAATTACAATTATGCGTACAAATAACAAAAAATAAAATAAAATAGAGGTTAGAGAGATATTTTCCCTTCCACCTGTTTGTGTGTGAACCACTGTAAAATTGCACAAAGTTTTCAACAGAGCTTTTCCGTATTATACTCTATTGCTCTATTGTATGATGTATTTAAATCTCAGTCTAATATTTTGATATATTGTGTATTGTGTGTGTAGTGACTAGTATCTAATCCATTTACTTTTTAAAATAAATAATGATTTTATCTTTTGTATATACTATGACATAATATTATTGTGTATGAGATATGTTATGAGTTTTGACCAATGTAACGATTTACAGATTATAGTGACTCGCCTTTTATGTAGCACTCAGCGAATTTGCTTATAGGTTAACACAACTTAGGAATGTAGAGTATAAGCATATATTGATATATATTATTACCAGTCAGTCGAGTTTGAGTCCTGAAGTAGAGACTATCAGACAACATTCATCTCTACATTTTCAAGTAACATTAATATTTGGATTTGCTATTTGTATAATAACCTACCTCGTAGATAAAAATATTTCCGTTATCATCTCGCTCTAGTTGATAAATCTCAAGAATGTTATATAATCATTGATGTTAGTCGTGTTGAAAAAATACAAACTAATACAGTAATAATACTGAAAATGATAACCGTGATTTTGTTTGTTCAAAACAGGAAAAACTATTACTCCTCGATGAGTGATCAGATCTCATTAATTTGATTTTAAAAAAAAAAAACAAAAAAACTTAACTTATGTAAATTGATAATATTCAAAGTTATATTGCATGATTTAAAAATGAAGAATAATGTGCACTATATTATGATATACTTTTATCATACTTACTTAATTTAGTTAATGTATTGTGGACATCTGTTTTGTATAAGATATTATTTTTTAAGAAACCCTATGTAGTCTTTAAATCAATTTATTTGATTTGTAGTATTAATTTTTTAATTTATATTATAGTATAATGTTTATTTACCATTTATTACTAATAATTATAACTTCTCATATAGAATAGTAAGGTAAAGTAAATATAGCACATACTTTCATGTTATTTAAAACTTTTAATAAATAACACTGTCTCACTGTATATCTGCTATATTTTGTAAAACAT